GCGTGAGCGTCGGTCGGCTGCACGCGGGGGCCTCCTTCGGCGAAGCGGCGGCGCTGGGGCTCTTCCCGGCCTTCACGTGCGCGGCGCCCTTAGCGCGGGGATGACGGGGAGGTCGAAGCGGCGCGTCGGGTCTTCCGATCGGGGTCGCGAGGGCATGGGGGCATCGGGCCATGTGGACAGTCGTCGCCATGGGGGCATCGGGCCCTCAGGGGAATTTGTCTTGATGTTTTCGCCGCTTTCGGGCGTTCACGGCTCCCCACGGGCCGTGGGAGTGTCAGGCAAACCGTTCAGGATGAAACGCTGGTCCACTGGGGAAGGCCCCAGGTTTCGGGTTGGGAGTTTTGGGTTCGATGTTCGACGCCTTCGTGCGTTTCCGTCCGCCCTCGGCGCTCTTCCAGCCTCGGGATGCTTTCAGCGGCTGCGCCTCGCCGAGAGTGTTCTGGGGGTGCCCGGGTCACCGCAAGGGGGGCGGTCGCCATTTTTTTTTGGGGGGGAAATCGGGGTTCCAGGATCGACGCCCAGGGAAGTTTTTGGACGTTTGGCGTTTTGAAAGGCTTTGGGGTGTTTTTTGGTACCGCATTTTCTAGAAACGAATAGACTGGGCAAGTGCAGAAGCACTGTGCTAGTGTACAAGCAAGCGTTTAGGATTGCAGTGCTTGGGCGAGAGGTGTCGTCCAGTATTGTGCATGCTCAATTTGTCCACGCGATTTTCGGCGTATGTCTAGCGAGCGATCGAACGATTTCTTCGAAAGGAAGGTACGTTTCCTTGAGGAATTGGCGACGCCCCTACAGACAGTTAGGTAATGCTGGTACGAATTGAGTGAGCCTGAGTACGCATGTCTCCACGCACGTCTGCGCCTGCGCGGTCATGCGATCCAGCGGCAGGGGCGGCAGGGGCGTCACGGAACACGCCGGCGAAGTGCTTACAGGAGTCTCGGGAGGACTACTCGCGGCGACTGAAACGCTGTTGCGAGGAGGTGAACAACAAGTGCGACGTGGAGGGTCCCTGCAAAGGGCTGCCGAAGGGCATGAAGCTGCTGCGCGACAGGGGCCGCGGCCGTTTGAAGAAGTAGCTGCCGCGACGTTTGCCAAGAGGGCGACGTCGCAGCCAGGCAGTGGAATGGGCCGAGCGTAGAAAGAAGGAGACGCCACAGCGGCGGGCGGTGGCGGCGGCGGCGGGCGGGCGGCGGCGGCGGACGGCGGCGGCGAGCGGCGGGCGGCGGCGGCGGCGGCGGGGGCGGCGGGCGGGCGGCGGTGGGGCGCAAGGGCGCTGAGCAAATTTCTCGAGGCTCCCCAGCCGTAGAGCTGATTAGATTTCTAGAGCCCACCCCCCGCCCCAGAGCAGAGTCATTTTTTAGAAGCCCCCTCGACCCAGAGCTGAGTAAATTGCTAGAAGCCCCCCCCCCGGCGCTCGGTAAATCTCTAGGAGCCCCCCCCCATCCCAGCGCGCGGTAAGTCTCCAGTGGATCCCGTCCCTTGGTCGCCCCCCCCCCGCTGCCTTCTCAGTCGCGCGGGCCCCGGGATTGTTCCTGGCCTTAACTAGTATCCTATAAGGGTAGAGCTGTCGGATCGAACCCCCTCCGAGCGCATTCGTTTTTCAGCAATCCAGAAGGTCGGATCCCGTAAAATCTGACTGGGCCCCCTTGGGTCCCCGCCTGGATCCCGGGGTCCGGGTGCTCGTGCCATGGTTCAGAACCTTGGCCCTTCACCGATTGCAATGCTCTGGGTGGGCCCTCCGCTTGCTTTCTCAGGGCCGAGGCTGCGCGCTTCGCTCGAAAGCTGCCGACGACGCTCTTCCTCTTGGCCTCGTCGGCCGACCTTTCAAATCGTGCCGAGCTACCTGGCCGCCTTTAGTGGTGACCCCCCCGTTGGCATTGCCCCAGAGGAAAAGAGATCGATGGATCGAGATTCGCTAAACGATGTGTTTGGGTGTTGTGACATTTTTTGTGCATGGGCCCTTCGGGGCGCCCTTGCCGTCGCGACAGGATTCCCGTCATGATTCCAGCCAGAAGGCCCCCCACGAGAGTTTTTTTGGCGGTTGTTTACGTGCTTGGTCGCCGTGGAGACGAGGGGTCTGGGAGACGAGGGGTCCTGCATTGTTGTCCGTTTCGAGGACCCGGGCCGCGCATGGCCACGGGGCCGTCAGACAACGACTACAGAGCAGGAGCGGGCTCTGGGCGAAGCCCTCTTCCATGCCTTACCAGTGAACTGAGTTCATTTCTATCCGTCGACGGGGATGTCGTGGAGGACTTTGGTCCCCCAGGTGACTCCGTGGTGTGGTGCGCAGTTGACATCGCGGTTGTGTACAAGTGAGGCTGAGGAGGAGGAAACGGAGGAGGAAAACGATGATGATGATGGTGGTGATGATGGTGATGATGATTATGATGATGATGAAGATGATGATGATGGTGATGGTGATGGTGATGATGATGCTGATCGTGATGTTGTTGATGATGATGATCATGACGCTGATGATGATGATGTTGATGGTGGTGGTGGTGGTGATGGGGACGATGATGGTGATGATGATCATGATGATGATGATGATGATGATGATGATGATGATGATGATGATGATGATGATGATGATGATGATGCTGATGATGATGATGGTGATGATGATGATGCTGATGATGATGATTATGGTGATGATGATGATGATGATGATGATGATGATGATGATGATGATGATGATGATGATGAGGAGGAGGAGGAGGAGGAGGAGGAGGAGGAGGAGGAGGAGGTGGTGGTGGTGGTGGATTAGCAAAGGGAAAAGGACGATGACGCTGTCAGAGGAGGAAGAGCATCAGCAGGAGCAGGAGGAGCAGGTGCAGCAGGTACAGGAGGACCAGGGGGCGAAAACGGCGAGGAAAGAATCGGATCCATTAGTGTGGGCCGTTGTGGGACGAATGCGCCATCGTGCAATGTGGCCAAAGTTGCAGCGGGAACGCGGGGTTGAAGGACCGAAAGCGTTCCGACTGGATCAAAACACATGACCCTGCGCGTGAGAACCATGCGCCCGATAGGCGGGGCAGCTCCGCGCGTGATCAGCGGAGAGAGGAGCAGTTTTCACACCGAGTAACCGAGTAGCTGTTGGGGAGTTGAGGGAGGGTGAGGGTGGATGAGAGGGAGGAGGCGAAGGGAAGGGATGCAGGAGGAGGCGCCAAGAGGGCAAGGGGCGAATGGGAGAGAGGCGAAGCCATAGCCAGCGGCTCGCCGCGGGTAAGAGGGCCCGAGTTCGAGACGTTTGGGCGAGGCCCATGGCGAGGTGCGCCCAGCCCAGCCGCAGACGCCCGCGGGCTGACACCGCCAGGCCTATAACCCGTAGTAACGTTTAACCGATTCCTATCCCCATCTCATCCTCATCCAAATCTCCACCATCCCACCACCCTAGTTGGGGACATGCTCCTCGAAACTCGAAGGGAGCAGCCTACATCCCCATCTAGGTGGGTGCATCGGCCACTGGGGCACAGGCCACGCCCGTGGGGAAAGGAATCGGTTAAACGATGCTCAAACCCAAGGGATTTCGTCTCAGCCGTCGCCGACGACCAGTGCGTCGAGACCGATGCGGGCGCCCGTCGCAGCCGTCGAAGACGGTAAGGGCGTCGAGACCGACGCTTGCGCCCGTCACAGCCGTCGCCGACGACTTGTGCGTCGAGACCGACGCGGGCGCCCGTCACAGCCGTCGCCGACGACCAGTGCGTCGAGACCGACGCGGGGGCCGGCGCCACCCTCACCGCGCCCGAGGCTCATTCCATGCCCTCCACCTACAGCGCCGCGGCGCGCCCAGCGCCGAGCCGAACTTACACGTGACGTTTCCAGCCAGGGCAGCTCTCCGCAGGCGGGGCCGACAGTGGTCGAGGCTCCCTGCGAGGCCATGCGCGAGGCCGGGGAAGTGCGAAGAAAGCCCTCTGTCAGACTGCAGACGCACCAGCGGATGCTGTTGAGGTCGGTCAGGTCGAGATAGATACAGAAGACGTGGAAGTAGGCGCCGTCAACGGATGCCGTTGATGCCGGTCAAGTCGAGGGAGATACATCAGGCGTGGTAATATAAGCACCCTGCGATGCCGACGTTGCCAAATTCCAACGTCGTTGGAGATACAGAAGGCGTGGAGGTAGGCGTACCCTGTGACGCCGATATGGCCAAACTGCTACGGTGAGTGCAGCAAGTGCTGTTGCTGTCTGGGAAGGCGTGTTAGTAGTAGCTGCGTGGCCTCGCCAAGCAAGCCCACCACCGGAGTTCGCGCTATCTGTGCGTCGCCGCTTCACCTGCCAGGCAAATACGTGAGCACCGCATGATCACGACATTTGTTCGCAACGCCGATGCGCCTTTTTCTGTTTGTTTGTTCCTATCTTGTTGCTTGTGGATTCGTTGTTTTTTTGCACTCGCTCTCTCGCTCTCTCTCTCTCTCTCTCTCCCTATCTCTCTCTCTCTCTCCCTCTCTCCTCCTCATCTCTCAGTTGTCTCGTAATTGCAGCAGAGGGAGGAGGAGGAGGAGGAGGAGGAGGAGGAGGAGGAGGAGGAGGAGGAGGAGGAGGAGGAGGAGAGGAGGAGGAGGAGGAGGAGGACGATGATGATGAGGAGGAGGAGGAGCAGGATTAGGAGCAGGAGGAGGAGGAGGAGGAGGAGGAGGAGGAGGAGCAGGAGGAAGAGGAGGAGGAAGAGGAGGAGCAGGAGGAGCAGGTGGAGGTTGAGGAGAAAGATGAGGAGTCGGATCAGACCGTCCGATCGCGTGCTCGAGCCCGCAATCGAGAAGGCGATGGCCCGAGCCAAAGCCCGCTTGGCATCGCTCTCGGGCCCGATCGCGCGCGCAGATCGCCACGGCCACGGCCGGCCCACGCGGCCGGCTGGAGCCGCTTATTGGGCCCGAGGCGGTGGTGGCCGCCGAGCGGTGCCGGGTGCTGACCGTGCCGGAGGAGCTCCCCGCGGCTGGCGCCGACGACGACGACGACGCCGACACCGGCGAAGACGCCGACGACGCCGACGACGACGAAGACGCCGACGCCGACGCCGACGCCGACGACGCCAACGACGACGAAGATGCCGACGACGTCGGCGTCGTCGCCCCCCAGACACGCCACGTCCACTGAGATCATGGCGTCTCAATGTTTTCGAGTCGGGCGTTTTCGCCAAGTCTCGGGCCCTGGGACCCTCACAGATCGATCCAGCTCGACGAGTTGCGCAGAGAGACGGGTATTAGGGTTCCGGTAGTGATTTTGCTTTTTCTCGCAGTGCTTCAACCGACCCCCATCTTTCGAAGAACGAGGGTTGCGTGAGCATCAATTTGCAGCTCCGCACGGATTTCTCGGATCGGCGTTGGCCCCCCTGGCGGCGCCTCTGTCGCCGCGCCGCCCCTGGCGCGCCGCGTGCGCCCGGGAGGGGTCCAGCGCCGATCCAAGAAATCCGCGCGGACCTCCGAATGTTTGTCATTGTGCAGTTTTCTCTTCCTCCCCATCCCCATCCCGATCCCCACCATCCCACCACCCCAGTTGGGGACATGCCCATCGAAGCCCGGAGGGAGCAGCCTAGATCCCAATCTAGGGGGGTAAATCGACGAGTGAGGCCCAGGCCACGCTGGTGGGAAAGGGATCGGTGAAACGATGCTCAGGGTCCCCCTCCCCCACACATGCAACGTCTTGAACAAACGGCAGGGCGGAGGTTTTTCCCCGTTTTGGGCCCCTGGGGAGCCTCGCCGGGCCGCGGGGCCGTCGAGAAACGGCTCCTGATGAAGAGCCAGCCCTGGGGAAAGGGTCGGGACTGCCTGGAACAGCGTGTCTGGGTCCCTTTCCGCCCGCCCGCTCGCCTCCGCCTCGTTCGGCGCTGCCTCCCCCGCCTGCCTCTCCCTTCCTTGTCCTCGCCGAAAATAACAAAAGGCTCCTATAGAGGAAGGTGGCGCTGGAGGTTCTCGCTGCGATGGATGTTTTCTAAAGTGCCAGGCTTGTCGTTCAGGTGGAACGGTCGCCCCTGTCGGGCTTGGACCTGGTGTCTCCCATGCCTGCCCGCCTGCCCGGCGTCCAGATCGCAGGGCCGCGGGCTGCTTCCCTTTGCCCTCGACCGGCCCGGTCTTCGGGCTGCCTCCCTGGCCGCGCGCGACCGCCCGCCAGATCATTTCCTGTCTGCCCCGTGCACCTTCGCAGTCGCCACTTTACAGCAGTTCGGGAGTTCCCTGGTGGGGTAGGAGAACGAGGAGGAGAATGAGGAGGACGAGCAGGAGGAGGAGGAGGAGGAGGAGGAGGAGGAGGAGGAGGAGGAGGAGTAGGAGGAGGAGGA